CATGCAGACCTTGAGAAACTTGAAGACTACACCTGCAGAAACTTCATGAGGCTTAATAAGGATCAAAGCAAAGCGTTTCTCTGAGACAGAATAACCCCATGCATCAACAAAAGCTGGGAAGTGACTGATCAAGTAGAGGTCCGGCTGAAAAGGACCTGGAGGTGTCAGTGAATGCAAAATTGATGGTGAACCAACAGTATGCTTTCATTGTGAGTAAGACAAACTGTGTAATGATCCAAATTAGAAATCTGATCACCAAAATGAGGGAAGTTATTATTTCTCTACTTGGTGGTAGTGAGGTTACACCTGAGCTATAAGGAGAGGATAAAAAAAAAAAAATGTGATCCTGTTTATTCCTGTAAAGAGGTCACTAAGGGGGTTCTAATTACAGTTCTCATTTTGAAGGGGCGTTATAAAGAAAACATATTTAAACTTTTCTTATTGTTGTTAGATGAAAAAACAAGGGACAAACACTACAAATAGTAACCTGAGATATTAATTTTGGACATAAGTGAAAACTTTAAGAGAGTAGCTCAGCACTAGAAGAAGTGTCTTGGAAAATTTGTGGGATCTCCATTCTCAGAGATTTTCAAGACTAGGCTAGACAAAATTAAAGCCTGACCTGATCTACAACTGCTTATCACTTGGTTGCTTCAAAGAATTTAAGAAGTTTGGACTAGAGACATCCAGTTGGACTAGAGACATCCAGTTGTACCTTCCAATCAACATCTCAAAAATTCCATAATTCAGAAGACACAGGGAAAATCAATTCAGTCTGCAAAGTGTCATAAAAAAGGTGTTTCTGAGATTTTTGGAAGAGATGAGAGAACTGGGATCTGAGTTCCTTTCTTCTGTTATCTAACTTCCACAGGTTCTTGTTGAAAATCCCACCCACTGAGCCTGCAGAATTATGGTGAGATTTTCCAGCTAATCCTAGAAAAGAACGTGCCTAAACCCCACCTATATCCAATGTCAATTAGATATACTATTTCTTTTGAAAACCCCAGCAGACATCCGTGGCTACATATATATATAGTCTACCATCAATCAACTGCTTACAAAATACTAGCGTGAAAAAGAAAGCAAGCTTTACAGGATGACATGTAGTTTCTTTAGTTTAAAAAAGATCCAGGACTGCGAGTTCTTGGAGAACCAGGGTTTGAGAGGAAATCAAGGAGAGCGGACTCCATAGAAAAATTGTATCTGTAGAAGAAAATAGGAAAATTGTATCTGGAGAAAAACAGAAGAAAAAAATAACACTGAGATGGAAATCTGTTGTCTTCACCTTACTTGACAGAACACCTCGGTCACAAGAGAGTAAAGTTTTTGCTCCAGAATCTATTTAATCTTTCTTTCTCTTTAAAAAAGGTCATATTTTTGTCTTTTCCTGTCTCTTTGTCTTTCCCATTTCCCCTCTTTCTCCCTTGCTCTCTTTCACAGGTCTCACATCACAAAGTCTGATGACCTGTCTGCAGCCGCTTTTCCCAAGAGTCAACAAGATCTGTTTTGTGACCACTGTTATTTACATGACCATCAGCCATGCAAGAAGTGAGAGGAGCACACAAGACCCTATTCATGAGATGGGGACTCTAATATTTGAAATAACTGCTGGGAGAGGTCAGGTGTCCCTTCAGCTTTGACACCTGGTCTGACCACATCAGTAATTAATCATTGGAAAGTCAAATTGAATGCAAGTGATGCCCTCCCAGCTCATCATTATTGTGACTGGAAATTTGTGATACTGAGTTGAATCCTGAAGAAGACAGCGTGCCAGCTGTTTAGAAAGTAAACACCAAAAACCGTGTGACATTTCTACAAACACATGTGAAAACAGCAAAGGAGCAAATATCACACTGAGCCATGAGCCCCAGTGATGAAGTTGTTTATTATAGAACAGACATTTTCCCTGCAGGGTGGAGCATAGGGTCAACCTTCCCATAACAAACGCTTCTTGTCTTCAGGGCTTGAAAATTCAGTTAAAATCTGTATGATGGGCTTTTGACATTACAAGAAAATAATGATAATAATAAGAAAACCCAAAGATGCAACTGATTTGGCATTAAGACCATTTGTCATGAGGGGAAGGGACTTTTCAGAATGAATAAGGAAAAAAAGTTGAAATGAATAATCAGAATCTATGACTTGGTAATACTCTGCATGCTTGCATTATAAGATTTTCTCTAGGGAAAAAAAAAAAAAAAATCCCTGAGATTGAACATAGAGGCTGGGAATTCAACAATGTATAGGAAAGACATTTTCCTTGCCACAAAGAGTTTTCAATGCCAGTAGACAATGCAGAACAATGATGTAAGAAATGAAAACTTTTATCACCCTTAAACAGATCTGAAATTAAAACCCAGTGGGAATAAAGGTACTCTCATATCTTTTTATTTGTTTAATTGTTTGTTTTGAGAAGATGTTAATTCCTTGAAAAAATAATTTTCTAAAAATAAAAAAGTAATAGATCAACATAATTAAAATTTCACTAGAATGTTTTATTGGGGGAGAACCAGGGCAATTAATTTTTTGAAAAGACCGTGTAGATAGGGAAAGTGGTTTGTCTGAAGTATTTACCTTCTGAAAACACAGTTGCCTATGGGAGATACAGGCTCAAATTCTTCTTCAGCTGCACCAGGGAGAGCAAACACCTGGATTCAGATCATGCCCCAGCTCCAGTCATGAGACAATGTACTGATGACAAAAACACATCCTTATGCTCTGTGGTTCCATTAATATCTGTAATTACTCACACAAAGTGGAAAAGCTCCAACAGGAGCAACTGTAAATTAAAAAAAAAAAAAAAAAAACTAAAACCCCAAAAAACGGAAAATAAGACATTTCTTCAGTTCAGCGGTTGGAGAAATAACCTGGAAGACTGGAGATTTTTCTCCAGATTAATTCAGGCAGATCAACAATTTGAACCTACGATCCCATTCTTGGGAGTGTCCTGATCACTTGTTTATTCTAAGATCTATTATTTTCTCTTTTCTCTGTCTCCCTCTCTCTGTTCATATTCTTTTGTTTTATATTATTTTATTGAAATTACTAATTTTTCTTCCAAGCTGGCATGAAAAATATGTTCTTAGCTTGTCAATGACTTTCCCTATTACCTAATACAATAATATCTAGTATCAATAAATGGCCAGGCTTTCAAAAGATCAGATGACAATATCATTCCTGGATCTGCAGTTTTCTCCCCATTATTTCAGTTCTTATCTCAAAGTTGTTTAAGAGTAGTGTAAGGTGAACAGTGATTTTTATAAAAATACATGTGAAGACACTCAGAAAATTTGCTGATAATGTCTTGCTGGAGGTGGAATATGGACAAAAAGAGAAAAAGAGTAAAAGAGTAAAAGAAAGTAACAGACATGACTATAATGCAAAGTATACTATTGAAGAAGGAAGTTAAGATGTGTAAAGAAGAATAAAACTAATTAAATCATGGGGTCTTTATTTGTTTCAAACACAAACATTGCACAGCTACGGGAATTCAGAACAAGTTTCTGTGGAAGTGCAAAAAGAGACCAGATGTCCAGCGAGATAAAGTCAGAAAGACCAAAAAGAAAAAGAAGACAAGAAGTAGTAAAAGCTGACATGTCAAACCAAACTAATGTCTTACTATAGACAGTAACGAGTTTGTAGCTACAGGAGGAGCAGCAGCTGCCAATACATACATTGATTTTATTAGAGCTTTTAACACTGTCTCATATGACATTCTCAGAAATAAACTAGGCAAACATAGTATAGATTAAACTACCAGGGTTAGAGGTAAAAAATGCTGGAAAACCTACTGACAAAATAGGTACAAATGGAAATATATATTAAGTGGGTTCTTCAAGGGAAAATTCTGAGAATTAATAATGAGCAGTGAGGAATCATCATCATCGTTAATGATTCAGAGTGGAAGAGAAAGTACGTGGGTTAAGATTTTACAAAATACTAAGTAAGGATGGATCAACACAAGATTGTCATTATCTGGTAATTTTTTCAGAAATAAATAGGATCTTATTCAGGAGGGACAAATACAAAATAGTGTGGGTATGTGAGGATAAACATCTGTTCAGAATATGAGAGTCTCAGAAAGTGGTTACATAGCACTTCTGCAGAGCACTTTCTGGGTGTTAAGGTAGATCGTAATGAAGTGAGAACCAGCTTGGTTTGCCTGTGGCAAAAATGGTAAAGACTATCTGAGAATGCATGAACAGGCTGGTAAACATGTATAAACACTGCACTAGATTGCTTGAGAAGTGTTCAGGCAGTAGAGAAGCTTCCATCACATGTGATGCCTGACAGTGAATCAGACAAGTATCTATTAGGAATGGCCTAGGAAGAGTAGATCCTGTCCCACTTTCCCTTTTTCATAGGCCTTCTGTGATAGCAGTTACAAAGATATCCTCATCATATTGGCACAGGACACAGGGGAAGAATTTTCATGACCCTAGCTCACACATTTCTAATGCTGAACACCAGTTCTTTCCCCAGGGGAACAGGAGATTCAAAGTAAAACATTGTGCTTTATTTTTATGTGAGATCCTATGTCTCTGTAAGGGACCAAGTAAAACACACAGCTCAGAGCTAATATGAATTTGTAGATATGGATAGTCTGGATCTGAATTTCATGGCTCAGACCCTCTCTAACAGAGACTTTTAATGTTGTTATGAAAAAAACAACATTCCATCTGCTATATGCAAATCCCTCCTTATATTTGCCTTTTGAGACCTCTAAGTGCTCTTAAACCAGCTAAACTTCTTCCTGAAGAATGCTGTTTACGCTTTGCGCAATACAGTTTCAACTTGATACGTTTCTCAACATGGGACACTCAAGTGTGAAAGCAAACAAGCTGGCAGGTTTTATTAGATTACCTTTTATTAGAAGAAACCCACACACACCAACAATGATTCTTTTTACAACAGCACCATTCAAATAGACTGTGTTTCCCCGAGAGCCAAAGCTTGCTTCTGCTTATATATTTTTCTCTCTGTCACTCAGCCTCCCAAGGTGTGATCAGTTGACCTGATGAAGTTTATCCGTTGTAGTTTATGTTGCCACCTGAAGGTTATCATACAACGTGTTGGCTGCCTACAGTATTGTGAACTACAACTCCTTTGCACATAACAATTTCATTGGCTGGTTTATCAAGCTTCCAAAATCTTCTCTCTGGATTGTGACAGTGGACACTGCAAAGGAAAGAAGTGGGAATAATTGGAGAGTGGATAACCAGTTCTTCACATCTCCTCCCTCATGTTATTCCCTTTCCCTCAGGACACTAGTGTTCTGAGCAGAAATCAGGTCACTCACTTCTAACTGAAGGCCGATCAACTGAAGACCAACACTGTAAAGCATTGTATAAAATGCAAGCATCAAATACATCAGGCAATGCTTAACTCAAACACATGTAAATGCAGGATATACCTTATTTCAGTTTAGATGCGTTATTCAACTCTGAAAGAAATGTGATAGTGAAAAATTAGAAAACACAAAAAAACCACCACCACCAAAAACAAAACAAAACAAAACAAAACAAAACAACAAATCTCATGTAGAACGGTTTAATTAAAGCTGTCTCAGATCCCTCAAGGTAAAAACACTGCAGGGTTTAAGGCAGAAGTTTTGGAAGGGAACAGTGATTTTCGAGGACTTAGCTGGAAAGAAAATGTGACTGCCCTAACCATGATTTTGCAAAAAGATGTCAACTATTTTCAAGAATGACTGTTTTACATGGCCTGTACAGTACAAGGTGTACAAAAAACCTTTCCCCAGGGAACGCAAATGTGGCAGCTGTTGACTACAGCTTACAACAAATGGACTCTGGAAAACTTTACACAAGCTGTTACTGAGAGGCACAAAATGAAAACCCAAGTTCACTCTGTCCATGTCTTTCTTCATCTCCAAACTCCAGCACTTGGGCTCCTCTGGACTCAGCATAAGAACAATTCTGTGTCATTATCTATTGCATAGTTCTGGAGCCAAACAAGGAACCAGTTCAGCTTTTGGCCATGAAGATACTTCTAACAAAGTCAAGATCCTTACCCCCAAAGGAGGGAATAAGACCATAAGAAAGAAAATTCACACTCCATGGACTTAAGAGTATTAGATTATATGGTTTTAAAATAAACACGTAGGAGGGAAATAAAACTGTAGATGGGTTTATCAAGGAAGGCAGCTACAAAGAGTTATATCAGTGTCTGTGGACCTTAGATGTATGTCCTTGAGCATCTTCTTTCCTGTGGAACTGGTTGAAACAAGCCTGAAGATCCATCAGCAACTAAGTTTTGTTTTGGTGAGAAATTTGGCAAGACTGGAGTCCAAGCTTCAGTCATTGGAAGATGAATCTTCATGCTTTTGTTTCACAGATTACTTCTGTCAAAAATCCTGAAATGACACAGAACCAGAATAATTTTTTTTTCTTTACTGCATGGCAAGCAGCAGAGTGACTGAAAACAAGTCATAGAGTAGCAGGAGAGAATAATGCAGTTTTATGAACTGCCTGACATAAATGTTGTCATCTCCCAAGACTATTTTGAGGAAGAAATTTACAGGAACAGATGATTCCAGGAAGCTTTACTAAACTCCAGTTTAGACAATATATCTTTAATGTCCGAAGGGGTCTGTTTACTTCCCCCTATAGCTATCCAGCATCATCACTGGAGAGAGAAAAAGAGCACAAACTCAGTCATGTATTTTTGGCCATTATTTTTCTTTCTTTCTTTGCTTCTTTTGAGCTGTCCAGTGGTAGGCAAGTAGAAGAAGCCTAAATTTCTGATTATGCAGAGCACTCTTCTCATAATCAAGTTCTATATCTCTCTTTGTCCCCACCAAAATAATCACCTGTAGTCATTTGCAAACATCAGAGCCAATGTGTAGTAGATTATTGAAGGTATGCATTCAAGGAAGCAGTAATTGCTGTTAAAAAGCAACTTTCATTTAGTATTCTTCCAAGTGCTAGATCTCTTTGTGAGACCGAGACCACCATCACTGCTAGAGAACACAAAACAGGGAAGGGGAGGGAAGTAAGAAAGAAAAGAGAGGAAAATACTCCCTTAGCAAGGTAGAAGTTTACCATGAATGTTGTCCTGGGAACAGCAGTCCAATAGAGGTCTCTTTTATAGTAATTTCTACCCCAATTGTTTCTTGTTAATTCTCTCTGATTACAGTAATAATTTAAAAAAAAAAAAAAAAAAAAAAAAAAAAAAAAAAAAAAAAAAAAAAAGAGGACGTGGGGAAGAGTGGAAGAAAGAAAGTCATAAAAAGAACAAGAAAATGAATAATAAAAAAAAAATCCTTGTGGTGAAAAGGGAAAAAAAAAAAAGAAAAGAAAAAAAAAAATCTGGCGCTAACTCTAAGCAATTTGCACCTTGTGCCCAGATCATAACTCTCTGCCTCCACTGCTTCCACACCCCATGATTTATGTTTGACAGTCCCAAAGTGGTTTGGAAATGGCACAGCACTGAGACCTTGTGGTGAGGCTAACTGATGTTTGAAAAAACAAAAATGAGTTAATTTATGGGAGCGTTCCTTTGGACTGGAATTCCAGACCAACACAGCTCTCCTCTAGTGGAAAAGTTTTGCACGCACACGCACATACACACACAAAATCTCCTCTTCTTTTTCTAGTTTACTCTCTCTCTCTGACTCTTTCTCTCTTTATTCTACCTATTTTCATTTCTCTTTTTTATTTCAGAACCTCCACCCATCTGAAAAAAAATCACATTGTGTTATTTTGTATTTATTTTCTGAATCTATTCTCAACTAAGAACAATATAGTGTTCTTGCTTTTCTAAAGTTCTCTTCACTATATTTCTTATCCTGTTTACTCCTATGCATTTTGGAGATTTTCTTGGACAACAGAAACACACAATAACTTAAAAAATTAAAAGTGGTGATTCTAATGAGCCATATTCAGACATTTTGAGGTTATCAAATTTCAGAAGATCGGGAAAATCATTGCCCTTTTAATCTCCACAGTTGAATCTTGGGAAAAAAAAAAAAAAAAATAGAGATTCTTCAAGTCATTAACTATACTGGAAAATCTTACCTATTGTCTCATGCTAGACAATTGAATGTAACAATCAGAAAAATAAGAGTTAACATTTTAGTAGTTGCTAACTGTATATCCCACATATTAAAGGAAATAAAGCAGCTGTTCACTTGAGGAGCTGGATTACAAGCAATGGATATTGACTTATGTCCGTTGAATACAGTGGGATCAAGAAGGTTTTCATCAGTTCTGGGTTTGGCCCTTGGCCACGTAGGTGCCTGTGTCAGCTTTTCTCAGATACCACCTTGTTAGGGTCACGATGATAAATAAAAGAATTGAAGGATGGAGAAATAAGTACCTAAGTATATCATGTGCAGTGGTGCATTCTATGTTACTGCACACCAGAAGACTTTGAGAGAATGAGGAAGATTTACTAGAATAATAGATATAAATCTATTTTTCCAACTCTTATTTATGTAATAGATATTGTTCTGACCAGAATCATGGTTTCCATTGGGTATTATGAGGTTCCTACAACTTGAGATAGGTAGCAAGAAATCTTCCTGCATCTGTCACAGGTTCACAGCTCCTGTGGATTTAATACAGGAAACAAGGGAAGGTGGAGGAAGGCAGATAGGGAGCTGGTGGATTATGCTTCTGTCTGCACACTAAACATTTTTAACCCAGCCAGGAAGAATTATCTAGATTCTCACCTTTGCACTGGGAGAACTGAGGAGATATGACATTATTTGACCATGCGGAAGGACACAGTGTTTTCCAGACTCCTCCTGGGGATCCTGGCACAAGGGCAACTTAAATAAGCTGCACAGACAGACTGACTGACAGCCTATTATTTGTGTTGCAGGTGCAAACCAGATGTGAACAATGCAGGTGGGCCAGAAAAGACACCAGCTTTATCAATATTAGGTAGTCCATGTTTTGTCCCTTCCTTGACAACATCCTTTGCCGCAGATGCCTGATTTCCTCTCCTGCTCCCTTACCACTTTCCAGGAGATTTGCACTCTGTCTTGCCACCTAAATTGCCAAGAGGCATACGTGCTTTGATTACTCATATAAAAACTATGCACCTTGATTGGACAAGTGAGAGTAGAAGGTGTGCTGGCTCTTTTGCTCAGAAGACCAAATGAAGCCTGTGAAGGTTATCTGCAACCAAAGAACCATATATTTTGTGGGCCTGTCAGAAACAGTGGGCATTGTCTAAATACTGAAGTGTGGATACTACTTTTGTAAGCAGTTTGCTCAGTTCAACACCATGCGTGGAGAATGAAATACTGGAGAGTGTATTTAGAGCTCCAGGTATATGTATCTACCCACCAGGCAAAGATCTTAATAGCCAGTTTAGGAGTCACCTCCTTTTTCTCCATTTCTGAGGACAAATGAGTGACAGCAGTTAAAGGGTTTGATATGGCAACTCTGTTCAAGAAAACTGGTTAATACTTGTGTATTCTTGACTCATTCCATTTTATCATCTCTCTCTCTGTTCCTGATCAGCTATGTTAGTGACTTGTGCTTTTCAGGAACCTCGCATGAAGACTTCTCTTTGCCCCTGGCCATTCCCCATCCATTTTTCTATATCTAAGAGCATTTAACAGATACACACAACCATCTGCTCAACAGCAACCACAAGCTCAGCTGCTCTGCCCACCTCTGTGGCACCTCATTTTGAGATTCTCCACCAACCCTTCACCATGCCAGAGGAACAAACAGACTGCTGGCTATGGATGTCTCCATCTGAGAGTGAAATACATCACAGATATAACAAGCAACCCTGCCTGTGAGAACCACCCAGATGATCTTGCCTTACAGCTTCCCCTTCATGCTGACCTCCCTCGCTGACTATATCTGGAACCAGAGCCTGTGCTCCACCATGGCCTTTCCTCCTCCTCTCCTATCAAAGAGAGGATGTTAACTGAGGCCAGAGCTGGGTGTAAAGCCTGGGAGATAGCACCACTATCACCTCTCTCTCTCTGGGTGAGAAGAGGTGGTATCAGCCTGTTCACAGATAACTAGCTCTGCAGTGAGTGACAGTGTAGAGATAAACGTCCCTGCATTGACTTGCTGATAACAGCCTGCCTTGTCACCAAGGGAGCACCCTGATCCATGAGCTGAAATACAGTGTCATGATCCAGGAGAGCAACTGTAGCGGACTACAGCAGTTATTTTTGAGTACATCTGAAA